TGTTTATGTGTCATAAAATGAGGCTAGTTAGCTACATTTTAACGTGCCACTTGCTAAGCGCTTGTAACTCATTTACCTTTTTACTTATAATATTCAATATCATTGTATGTGATGATAAAAACTGTCAGATACTACTGTCATATTTTTCTCAATTTTCGTGGTATCTACTGTCTGCATACATCTGATACCTATACCTAACCGATTTTAGGACACGGCTTTTGCATTTTCTTTCTTCCTAAAGTAGTTTTAAGGTCCCTACAATTGTAAAGGTTTGTAATACTCACTTCGAGATCTACGTCCTTTTTGTGCAGACTCTTGTCCACTTGCAATTTGTAACAGTATTGCGATCACAAAAAATAAACCTTGTATTCGCAACATTTTTGCAGCCGCCATTTGCGATTTGCGATCACCCGACCTCCGTTTCTGACAAAAGATTGTTTTTCGAAAAATATATATTTTCTTTTTTTTATAAATAGGTAATCGTAATGTCAACGCAGTCAATGGACAGTATAAACACTCTTTTCTACATTTCGGTATAATTAAAAAAAACAATCATTAGAACATATTACCTCCTCCTTTTTTGAAAGCGGTAAAAACGGAACGCTTGTTAGGTTCGTTGGTACTGGTAGTGTGCGTTCCTAACACACTCTAAGCACACTACAGTACCTATCTACTGAGGGGCGTCACTGTTTCAGCTGAGCTATACTTATTATACTCTTTGCAGCTGATGAGCGACAACTGACCCGACATCATAAGGTCAGTTGTATCTATCTACAAGCAAAAGTGTAAATTACTCATACTGTAATGTCAAAATATGCATTGAGGAATAAACTGTAACCAAAGAAATGAAATAAAACCTCAACTCAACAAGTTTGTGACACTATTGTATACTGAAGTTATGCCAAAATTATGGTCTATGGTTATGGTTTAACTAACAGTCATTGTCAAAACTATAAACACTTACTAAAAAATATTAATATTCTAAGAAATAAGAAGTAATTTTACGCCTAGTCACTGATATTATGTGCAAGAGATAATTGTAGTTCGCGATGAATGATCACATGGAAGCGTTGACGATGATTCTGATGTGTGGCGACGGCACGTGCTGCTGTATCCCTCGGAGGAGCATGATCGCCCTTATAGCTATCATCAGTCTTGTGCGTAATAATTTTGCAACGTACGATTGGATATTTTGGCAAAAACCCTTGTTGAGTTGCACAAACTGGCGTGCTTGTTTTATCAGATGCATGCATGGTTTTTTTAAGGCGGAAAATCATTACTTCTCCCGCCTAAATAAGACGGGAGGGAGTATCAGACTCTTACTGATTAAAAACCACCCCATTACTACTCCTGCACTTCGAGCCGGAGCCCCGGTAACCTTTTGCGTCCTCCGCAGCCCCGTCCGTAGCAATAATGAACGTAGTTAGTAGAGGACGCTCTGTAGTTTCTACCTACTCTTCTGGGACATAGGCGTAAAATACGTAGCTATCTCTTTTTGTAACCCACAGGTAGCTTGCCTTCTTGATATGTTAACATCGGAGAAGGCCAGTCAGTTTCCTGAGAACTGCACGATAATACGTACAGAGATAGAGTGTGCGAAACAGCTTCTCATGACGCTATTTCAAATGGCCAATCTACTGTTACTGCTTGCTTCCATTGTTGTAAGTATGAAAATACGTTGTCTACTTTTTACGTGGGAAATCTTTGGAACAAATGAGCTGGTTCGACTGAAGTGACACCACGCGTCTCTCATAAAATCGGCGTCAGAGGCGTAGCCGTATCTGCCATATCAATAATACGCGCGTAAGCATAAATAAATAAATAAATAAATAAATAATCTTTATTGTACACCAATTTGAGACAGTACATCAAGGAACAAATAAAGAAAATAGGGTACAAAGGCGGCCTTATCGCTAAAAGCGATATCTACCAGGCAACCTTTGGGTGGATAGAATAATAAAGTAGGATATTAAATGAGGTAGTTATAGCTTGGCGTACTCAGTGCTTATTTATATAATGTAAAAGAGTAAACATTAAAAAACAAATTTATTTACTTTTAATATAGAATTATATACTTACATACACACACATACATACATACATACATACATACATACATACATACATACCTACATACATTCATACATATATACATATACTAATACATACATAAGTACATTTAGAAACAAGATACAATGACAGATAGGTGACACTAGGTGAAGAAACAACAATGAACTACAGTGTGGAGAGATAATGCTCCCTCACGCGTGCCTTGAACGTGACCAGTGACTTTGCTTGTTTTATGGAAGGGGGAAGTGCATTCCACAGTCGAATAGCTCGAACTGTAAACGATTTGTCGTAGGATTTACTCTCATGCTGGGGCATCTCAAGTCTCAGATCTCCCGACGACCGTACTGGTCTAAAATGTGTGTCATGGTAGAACTTGAAACGTTCTTTAAGGTAATATGGCGTAGTAGGATTAAACAGTATATTGTAGAGAAGGGATAGGATATGAGTATTCCGGCGAAGGCGGATCGGCAGCCACTTGAGTTTAGCTCGGTATTCGGAAACGTGGTCATATTTTCGTAAGCCAAATATAAACCTTATACAGAAATTTTGGAGTCGCTCAAGTTTATCTAACTGCGCTTCAGTAAGGTCTGGATAGCTGACGTCGGCATAATCAAGAATGGGAAGGAGAAGCAAAAAATAATAAAAACTTATCAATTTTAATTTTATTTCAATAATTACAGAAGTAAATATAAACGGTTTCTTCCCACGTAAAGCTTGCGTTTAAAGGTTTGTACAAACTTTAGAAAAACTAAAGTAAATACAGACCGATAATTTGGTTTAGTTTTCCAGTTTTCACTAAAGTGGGGGGACAGGATCCACGAAGGGACGCTACGGCACTGATCAGCGTGAAACAACAATTGCGCAGATACGCAATTGTCCACCCATATCCTATGGTGTAGGTGTCCCGGGGCGACGATGACGCCCAATGCTTCCGTCAGGTCTCCGTACTGTCAACAAAAGTCATCTTTGATCACCTTACTGCTCCTTCTTATTATGCTATTAATTCCTCCTGAAAATGACTGTCGTAAAAACGCATCACTTGACTTACTTGACTCATATTACACTCAGACCTGGTCAACTACTTGTAGATCATACTGATCACACAATCGTTCTGTGTAAGTTGAATCCACGACACATTACACCTAAGCCGGTATCCCAGCTACTGCATCAATCGTGCAGTCGTCACATTGGCTTCCGTGAAATATTCGAGAATGATCTACTACTATCTATATGTGTTTGTCGTTGACAGGAGAGTGCAATTTTAGTGCAACTATACGTATGGTACACCCTAGCGTTTGTAGTGATGGGCCTGATCGTGAACATTGTGGATTTCCTATTCAAGTACAAAGTAGAAGGCACGTCGTGTTTGCTCGGGTTTATCACTGAAGTCTGTTTTTTATTCGGTAAGTATACTAGTCACCCACCATATTGAAAGTGTAAGATACACTCAAATAGGGCACGGAGTAGAAGAGTTAGAGGAGAAGAGAAAATGAAAAACCAGCAATTTATAATAATTCTCATTTTTTAATGAAAAATGAAGTCCTAAACACCCTTTCCCTAAAAAGTGTATTTTGTGCGTATATAAAAAAATATAACTTTCGAGATTCAGTTAGTCAGTTACCTAGACTAAACATCTTCTTATCTATCTTCTATCTATATCTTAAAACCCAGAGACACGAGAATGCTTTTTGATAAAAGCCTTAAAATAGGGTGGCCCTTATTTCGTTTTCGGTAGTAGTGAGCTTGCTTTATCTTAATTTTATTAACTCATATGGAGTTGCATTCAAGTAATATGAGAAAAAAAGAATTACTGGACTAATAATGATAGATATCGATGTTTAATTTCTAATGAAAGCATTCGACATTATTTTGAGTAGGTTCAGTGTAGGGTACTTGGTTGACGGCAACTAAATCTGTAGACACGACGGTTGCGCCATTCCTCGTGCGACTGCTATCAATCTGAATTTTTTATTCATACAAAATATAACTTTTACTCTTGTTTCAGTTATATTCAGATGCTTACCACTAGTGGACACCTACAGAAAACACATCAGCGGCGACTCCGACCTAACATCATAAACTGTAAATACAATTCGATTAAAAATAAAAATCACAAAATAATTTTAAACTTTTTCATTTTTATATTTTTGTACTATCTACTATATACAATGTGGATATTAAATATCTATAGAAAAAAAACATCGTACAACAAAACTTAAGAGTTAACGCGAATACTAAAATAACACTGTTCCTACTGAACTCATACACGCATTTTCTTATGAATAAAAAAACTTAAAAGTCGTTAATATTTCTCCAGAATACTTTGAGAGCGTACTATAAAAGGAAAAGAGTAAGGAAAATGTTAATATGTTTGATATTAACATTTTCCTTACTCTTTTCCTAAAATACAGCGGTCAACGCTCGATGTTCGTGTTATCGTTAACAAATCAACCCACCAATACATCTCAGCTCTCAAAATAGTATGGAACGGAAAAACTGTGGAACAAGATGAAAGTTCAATCAAAATGCGAATTTATTAATTGCAAAAAATCAAACCAATTTTCTAATATGAACACGTTTCTACATAAACAGGCCCTGTTCCGTTTCTTTATAACTTTCAATAGAAGTGTATATCTCTCTTTAAAAACAAATCTGAGCTTTCTTGGTCTAAATAAATCATTTTGTCATACGAAAACAGTTCTTCGGCATCTAACTATAAGGCTTATATATAATAGAAAGGCACCATGCTCGCATCCAATGAACTTTACACCCAGTTTCACTTATATACCATCCTTCAATATTACAGTTTAACAATAATTTTGGTACATACAAAAATCAGTTACAAACATCGCGACAACCACCGAAAGTAGGTACTTTCGACATTGTTTCAAAAAATACACATTAATATTTATTGTTGGTTCCACGAAATAAAAAAAGGACAAATTTAGTAGGTACAAATATATCCGAGTCACTCCGAGGCGTAAAATACAAGGCATGATTTCATTGAACTACTTATGTTATGCAAAAGAACATAATTTTCTTTATATATTTTAAAACTGCGTAAATTGACGCGTCGATAAAATTATGTTACATTACAATATACGCGAATAGTTTACTCGTTAACAATCTTACTTCACACAATTGGTCAAAATTTTCAGTTAAACATCTAAAGCATTACACACTGAATGCACAGACTCACACTTGCTTTTTAAACCTTGCAACTTTTTGATAGAGGACTAGGTAAGTAGGTACAAAGGTGTTTTAAACGGGCAATAGTTTTCTGTAAATATCACTAGATCAGAACTTTATGCATACTTCTTCAACTGTTCAACATTGAATGGTATAAATATCAAGTGCAATATTCATGATAAGTTTTTATTTTTATCTAATGGATTGAGCTTTCTATCAGCTTTTTCTTATTGTATTCCAAAACTACATAACAATTTTGCTTTATGCAATCATATTTTTAGACTAGGAGTAGGCTTAGACGCTTTTTTTTAAGGGGGGAACATCATCGAATGACTGCTCCCGCCTGGGTGAGGCGGGAGGGAGTGTCAGACTCTTACTGACTAAAAACCACCCCGTTCCTTCTCCTGCACGTCGAGCCGGAGCCCCGGTTACCCGTTAGGTTCTCCGCGACTCCGAATCGGCATCGCCCCTATTGGGCCCCATCTGTGGTGGTCTGATGGCTCTTTGAGGCACGCGCGGAACGCGACGCTTAGGAGTAGCGTAGAACAAGAAAGGACATTTGAATCAACATTATAATTACTCGAATCACCTCTATCAAAAAATTGCAAGCACTTTGAAACATTAGATGTATAACTATTCTTAGTTACTTACGAAGGCTCTGCAGGCATATTTATTTATTTTTTTATATTATATCCATTTCTAAAGAAAACGAAATCTAATCTAATATACATAAAAGTTTTAATACAAACTAATTCACAAAACGTTACTTGAATCAAGTTTTTTCGAAACTTATTTTGGCACTAGAAATTATCATACTGTAAAGTAAAAATGTCCAATTTCTATGTCAAATCCCAGTGAGATCACGAACTTAAATTAAATAAACTTTTCAATATTTCGAACTCGACAAGACGTGTTAGGTACTTAAGGCCATATTATTAGGACACCATGTCACGGTTACACTACTAGGTCGCGCAAAGAACAAAATGTCCACAATTGTAGTTATAAAGGTTATGTGACCAAGTGTCAACTCGGTTGAGCGTCCTACAGCTGAAGCCAAATGTCATTTAGCGCTTGTCCACAGAGAGAGTAGAAAACCAAATTATAATATGGAATTGATATAAATTTTGACACTTGTCAGTGTCATCCCCATACATTTAGTTTTCTACACTATCTGTAGACAAGCGCTAAAGTGGCATTTGGCTACATGCTGGTGTCAACTTGGTCGCGCAACTTGTTGTCAATTGGCTGTCGCTCAGTAAACATGAACAGACGCATTTCCGCGACCGGTGGTAGGACAATGGTGACCAATATAATAGGGCCTCTAATATCACTCAAGAGATATATCGTCACGCCTTTTCCTCCAAAAAAGGTAGACAGAGTTGTACAAACTCTGGAAATTCCCATAAAATGAGTGCAAAACTCGACTTTGTGATACAAATTTAGATTTTCATATCTGTAATCCGACTACTACATCACATCTCATCCTAAAGGCCGACATTAATAACGACTTTGAACACAAGTTCCACGGAGTTTATATCAAAAAGCTGGATTAGTCCAAGAATATTGGATCAAGATTGGTTATAATTCTCAGCCATAAAATTGCCAGACATAGTCGAGTTTTGCAAAAGGTTTTATTATCGAAAACACAGCAAATATGACTTAATAATAACAACTTTCGTATGCAATAACATTTAGATATTACACGACATATTATAACGCACAAGGAACACGATAAGTTTTATCAATCATCGTACGTTTGCTAACGTATGTAGATAATATAAATTTTAACATTCATAGTTTTCTTGTCGTAGGCGCGCCGGACGGAACATGGCAGTTTACAATATCGTGGAAAAGGGATCACAAGAGCTGTAAGACTTATGACGTAATTATTACAATGTTTAATAGGTAATAGTGTACTATTTTAAAATTAATTATTATGTTTTCGGCTTAGTCACGTAACTGTTTGACAAGGAACTCGACTGGTTTCAAGCCACGCTAGAGGCTCATATTCATGCGCAGCATTCGCGACACGAGACGCGGCGTCTGTCGCGCTGCTACTACATACATATGAGCCTCTAGCATGGCTTGAAATTAGTCGACTTGAAACCTGAAACGAGTCACGTGAAATAGTTACTGAGAAAAGCTCTACTAGTTTCGAGTCACAGAGGGACACTTCATTATGGCGTCCGCGCGTAATTTAAAATTTAGTATGTCTCTAATTATTATAAAAATAGGGTAATAGTGTAAGTAAAATGATTAAAAATCGCTATCAAAATCCAATTTAGTCTCACAGCTTATGTAATTGCTGTTTTAGTATTTCCAAGGAATCGTTATTACCGCCTTTTGTATCGTTTCTTTCAATGGTTTACGAACGGCTAACGTTTTCAAATCCCCTACCACAAATTAAAAGAAAACAATATCCTTTACCTCCCTGCCTTGCACTTTCCGACACGCCACTTGCAATAATAAAAGTACAATATTGAACCTTATCTCCATCTAATAAGAGTATAAAACGCTGAACTGAAGACTGAACATCTATAGGCTTTGACTATTGAATTAAAACCTTACTGGTAAGAGAATAAGGTCCAATATTTTGAGTTTACTCCCAATATGAACACACTGTATTCACAAAATGTAACATTCTTATTATATATTTTATTATATTATTTCCACCGAAAACTTCCTATGGGATAATTATTATAAGATGAACATAATTATTAGGCCAATAAAGAATTATAGGTGCAGTCAAGACTACCATTTTGCATGGATAGAAAAGAAAAATTTACACATTTCTTTTGGGCATTACTTAAAAAGAACTGAATAAAAGTAGCATTGACAATATTCAGTAGGTAGGTTTTACACACAATAGAGCCATGCTTCCATGTTCGACCACAGTGATACCAAAGCCTATAGAGAACCGGCGCCAATTTATAAATCAAACATAGGTAGAATTTTTGATCTAGTTACTTTATCAGACAATAATTAACATGCCAAGAAGTCATGAACGTGCATTGAGCCATATTTTTAAGGGGGGATTTTCACCGAATGACTTCTCCCGCCTGGGTGAGGTGAGGGAGTGTCAGACTCTTACTGACTAAAACCACCCCGTTCCTACTCCAGCCCCTCGAGCCGGAGCCCCGGCAAGCCGTTAAGTCTTCCGCGGCTCCGTATCGGCATCAGCCCTATTGGGCCCCATCCGTGGTGGTATGATGGATCTTTGAGGCGGCATTGAGCCATATAATACTGCGGTGTATTTCATTAGTTAATAAATTAACAACATCAGAGCATTAAGAAAAGGTCTGGTACTGAGAAGAGGTGTTTTATGGGACAAGCTGGTAAACGAGCTGACGGATCACCTGATGGTGAGCAATCGGCGTCGACCATGGACGCCTGGAACACCACAGGCGATACAAGTTACTGTGGGATTAGGAATCTGAGGATTGTTGAGGAGTCAGGGATTGGGGAGATTAGGGAAGAAGGATGGGAGGGGAATTAGGCCTCCAGTAACCTCACTCACACTACGAAACACAACGCAAGCGTTGCTTCACGTCGGTTTTCTATTCAGCCGTGGCATCACTCCGGTCGAGCCGGCCCGTTCGCGCCAAAATTATGTTCAATTATAGACAAAGTGATTCTATACCATACATACAAACTATGTTATTATGACATATTTTAAAATAATCACCTAATAGGAAACTCGGCAGACACAGTTATGGGACGAACAGTGAACCAATTCCTGGTCAAATGTTTCAAATCACAGTATTGAGTAGTTTTCGTATTTTAACTTGGACAACCAATTATGCAGCAATGGGTTGGGAAAAAAGAAATATATAGTTATGTAGCAGGCTTCTATGTAGACATACCGAACTGTATGGAAGAGCAGCTATGATTTAGATACCAAATTACGTGCAATGGAATGGAATCTAAATATAAAGATAAAAAATATCGCAGTGATAGGTATGAACTCGTCTCCTATAGGCACTAGTTTAGATAAAGAAGAATAGTATTCAGCACTAGTTTAGATAAAGAAGAATAGTATTCAACAGAATAAGTGTTAATGACAAGTCAGCAACAACTAACCAACAACTACAACTAACCACTAGGCTATTCGAACTCTCAAGATGTGAGCTCGATGGCATTCTCGCCCGTCATTGGTAGAGATTATTCTCACAACCAATGAAATAACGGACCGCGATCGAACTTTGAAAGTTTAAATGGATATCTCACAGAATATCTTATCAGATTGGAAAATAGAGCATCGTCTCACTAGCGCCATCTCGGGAGCACAAAAAATAACCTCATTCCCGTACACCAGAAGTTTAAGAACTGAGAAGTGATGGCGATTCATAGGTTAATAGGAAAATAGAGAGTAGTGTAGCCGTATGAGATAGAGAGTACCACAGAGTATAGAAATAGACAATGGACAAGTCTACCATTACCACATAATTACATTGATCCAATAAGTATTCTCTGTTCAATTTCTTTTAATTTACAATTTATTTGTCTAAAGCACACTTATCAGGGATTCGTTTTACTTTTAATAGTAACTGTCTTTGGATATTTGAAATAAAGGTTTTCGTACAAAATTCTAAGATTTACGATTATCGGGAACAAAGCACATTTGTATTTCCTAATATAAAGATTCTTCCAATTTGGCCAATGTACAGTTAAGGTTTTTTTTTTCTAACACGGAATTTATTGTACAGTTTTTCATCCAAAGAGGTCCAATCATAAATCCAAATAAAACCTCTAATCAAAAGAAAAAAACAAACTGTCACTTTTGAGAAACCAACAAAAAATTCCAATTCAAAAAGAGAACACATCAGACTTACTTCGAAAAATGAAACTCGCAACATTTCTGTTCCATGTTTGAATCACTGCACGTCACGCACTGTCTTTGGTCACTACACTTAACTGACACTCTGATTGGCTATCGACACTATAGGTTGCTGGTTATTGGATGAAATTACTGTGGAGCCGGGAGGTATTTTTTGCGGAACCATCCCGTCTATATGTCTGTACTTCTTGAGTCTCGTCCACTGGCCGTTATTGTAGTTCATTTGGAAATGCATTTCTGACAGCATTGTGAGGTATGTGTCGTCCGACTGGAGAACATTCTCGATGTTTTCTGATAGTTTTATCGTTACTATGTTGCCTAGGTTCGGACATGGATTATCTGGAACAAAGACATTCATAGATGTACTGATATACTTGCACATTACATTTAAAAGATACTTTCGCCAATATTTTTATAAGGAATTTATTTGTTTATTTGGATATCCAGTTGTTTACAACATTAACTTAAAATTAGGAATTAACAATGTTATTACTAATGCACACAATATATAATTGATGTCTTTGACATGTATATAAGAACAGAAAGTATGAATAGCACAATTTTATATTAACATTTGAAGAACATCACCGCATGCGTTGAGTCGAGAACACTACTAATTTCAACTGTATAACTTAAAATAAGGTTCGTACCTCTGGATCCGGCCATGAAACCAAGTATAAGCGCCTTCTCTGGTCTCGTGACCCGGTTGGCATTGCGGAACATATCTTGTGCCTCCAACATTTGTTCACGCTGAAATAAAAATATACAATGAATATAGTGTTATTTACATTTACGTAATCTAAACCTGATTTACTTATTTGATGTTGTAATCTATATAAAAATTGAATTACAAAACAGTAATTTTACTCATGTGAGATGACAATATGGGAATATCACTGACGGTTAAATCAGTCTCTCAATGGCTGTTCGCCTTGCTAACTTGGATCTAAAGAGATAAGTAACATACGTGTTAGTGTCAGTTAGATCAACGACACTCGCATTGTTCGTCACGCAATATCTACAGCCGCGTCGCGGGTCGCAAAATGCTGCTAATGAATATATGAGCCTCTAGCATGGCTTAAAACTAGTCGAGTTCCTCGTCAAATTACAACGTGAGTAAGCCGAAAACAATAATATCTACAGCTATGAACCCTCGACTTAAAACTAGTCTACTGTCTTTAGAGAGTCATCTTACTATCCTATTACATTATAAACGCGAAAGTTTGTGACTTTGTGTGTATGTTTGTTACTTAATTACGTCAGAACGGCTAAAGGGATCGGGATGGACTTTGAAGCCGGGTAGATTATGATCTGGACTAAAACAGACTAGCTACTTCTTGTCCCACAGGAACGCAGGTGACATTGCTGGCGCAGGCTAGTAATATAATGTAGGTATGTATATATGTGTAGTACCGTGAGCGAGAGTCCCCGGCGCGGCAACAAGGGCGGCGTCTGCGTGGCAGCCAGCGCGGGCGCCGGCGCCGCCACTGCGGGCTGCGGGACTGCTTGCGGGATCTGGACCTAGACAAAACAATTCCATTATTACTCAAAGCCACAGAAAGCTTTAAGAAGAGACGAGTGGAAGAAGGGTAGGGAGGCCTTTGCCTTGTAGAGGGACGACCATGGCTAAAGATAAAATGAAATAAAATTATTAATTATAATATTGTCATTATTAGCAGTCTGAATACGTTCAGTCTCACTGAAAACCGACGTGTGAAAGTACCACAGGCCCCAATTATTCTCTCCCAAGTTCCCCTATCCTCAAATTTCTGTCGCGGAGAACCTAACGCGTAACCGGGGCTCCGACTCGACGTGCAGGAGAAGGAACGGGGTGGTTTTTAGTCAGTAAGAGTCTGACACTCCCTTCCGCCTCACCCAGGCGGGAGCAGTCATTCGATGATTTTCCCCCCTTAAAAAAAAATCCTCTAATTTCTAACTTCCAAAGGCAGCGAATGCTTCAAATGAACTAACTGCTCATCTGTTAAAAAATGTCTAATGCTGAACAATGACCTTCTCTGAAGCAGGTAGACAGTCTCGACGCTAGGTCTGGCTTAGGTATTACCTAAACCTTAGGAAAGGCTGGTATGTAAATAAAAATGAATTTCCGATGACATCACGCCTTTTTATCTTCGAAGAGGTACGTAGAGGTGCATATTACGGCACTTAAACTGTCAAACACCAAGCGGTCACCGGTGACCGCAACCTATTGTTCTATAATTGTGTCTATAATGACGGTACTCGATGAGTTAATGGCATTGTATCACCACTGTATTGTATTGTACCATAAATTTTTAACTATTTGTTATGAGTCCTGTGTATTTTTTGTATATCCGTGTGCAGTGCGTGCAGTACGTACCGGTTGCAGCTGGTGTTGCAGCGCGGGCCCGGCGGCCGCCCGCGCCGGCTGCACCGCCTGCGCCAGCTGGGGACACGTACCGACATACAGCAATGGAATCACATATATACTAACTAAATATCGCGGGTTGCTCACGTGAATATACTGAGAAAAGCTCTACTACTTAGTTAGTACATGCTGCTCATGAGGAAGAGTCCCTCTGTGGTTCGAAACTATTGGGCTTATCTTAATATATTCACGTGAGTAACCCGCGATTTTTAGTTAATTTAATATGTCTCACGATAGTTATTATAAAAACATATAAGTATATTTTTTTTAATAATGCCACAAGGATTTTCTCCTGTATCATCAGTACGATTACAAACAGTTCACATACAACATGTCACCCCACAACAATTTGAAGATCACACCAAAGTGTTGTTCCGTGCGGCCATCAATATCGAATCGGGAATATAATCGTCAAAAATACTCAAAGTGACGTCATACGATATTTCAAATCAATATATCTTCGAAACCATTCGTTTCCGTAAGAAAATAAATCATCATCAATCATAACATCAATCCTTTTGTAGGCGTTTTGTAGGTGTTGTAGGCAGAGATGCACATTACGGCACTTAATGCCACTGTGCCTACAATGTAACACCCACTTTTCACTATTTATGTTATGAGTCCCATGTACTAGCGGGTGAGTCTATTGCCATATACCGGGCACAATTCCAGACTCCGTGCTACCACTGAGAATCTTTAAAAACCCAGTAATACTTTGCCAGTCGCGCAAGTGCAAGACCACTCGGGCAACGAGGCAGCAGAAAACAAAAAATACGTGTCTCATGTTTTTAAATAGTCTACCAGACTATCATTAAAATAAAAATTAGTCTTTATGGTCATTTGGTACTTACAGGTTTAATATTCTGCAACAACACAGCTTTCCCGCCAGGTTGCAGTATAACAGTGGAAGTGTTGAGTAGGTTCTGTGTGGACAGTAGTAAGGGCTTGCCCCCAGCGGGGCCGGCTATCAGGAGCTTTGGTTGTTGACCTATTACTATCGGCTTTGGATTTGAACCCTGGGGAGAGAATCATTATCAATTAATATATTATTATATGCTTATTATTTATTCATGTTTAAGTTGTAAATATTAAATTTAAATTATTATTTTAGTCAAAGATATTGTTAGTATTGTACAGTAATTTTAAATGAAATGATAAATTTTATTAAATTTTCTGTATTTATTTATTGTATTTATTTTTATTTATTAATCTATATTTTTAGTCAGTATGACGTGTTTTGTCTAATGACTTGACACAATTTTTTTATTGTTGAGTAAGTAGACTATATCGCCCATTAATTGTTGAATAAGAGTCATTGTTATTCATTTAATTTTTATAAACGATCTAGACAGTCCCTATACAGAGTATTTTGTGATGGCAATCCAAGCTAAATGTAAGCATATGCTCGATCAAATAAAATTAGCAATTTTTTATTATTCAGATTATGTCTAACGTTATGTAGTATGTAGCGCAGTCATTAAGCAGGCAGTACACTGTAGAATGGTGCTTGAGGAGGCTCATATACGGTCGCAAATCCATTAAATTGTCACAGTTTAATAATAATATGAATGTATACATACATGTACCAGTAGCGGGCTGGCGAGGGGCGGCGGAGTGTCGGGCGTGGCGGGGGGGGCGGGCGCCGCGGGGGGAGGGGACGCGGGGGGCGGCGCCGGCTCCGATGTACTTGACGATGTCGCTGCAAACAAAGTGATAAATACATAGTAAAATGCCAGATTGACTGTACAAATAATTCTGGTCAAATAGTCTACGGTCCTAACGCTAAACTGACAGATATGGCGAAAGTGGCCAATGACTGTAAATAGTAGCATTCTCTCATATCGGAGGCCAACACATGTTTCATTTAATACATTATTTAAGTTTAAGTTAAAACATAACACATAGGAAAATTTACCGAACTAAAAACTGTTCAGATGACAAGAGATGACCATTATTTCAATTTGGTACGAGTTAATAAAAGAGTTTGAACATACCATTAGTGTTTTCATCAGGCTTGGGCCCAGTAAAGTTGTTGAGTCCCTTGGCATAGTCTGGCGGAGGCGGCGACGGCGGCGCTGCGGCCGCTGCCTTCTTTGCACCTTCCTCCATTTCTAGATAAAACAAAATTCAAATCAATTTATTTCAGAACACAGGTAATACAAAGGGGTGCTAACACTAGAAAGGCGGAGAATCGAAATGACCCAGAGGCAGTTCTAGGTAAATCATTATTTCCAACTGAAAACAATAATAATTTTTAAAATCCAATAAATAAAAGTCAAAAAGTTTCACGCACCACAACCTAACTTTAAAAATAAAAACGATATGAACTATCAAACTTGCAAATGGGACAAAATTGGGATGGCGGCCTCTAGTGTTAAAATATACATTAATAGTATAGCTAGCATAGCATAGCTTAATAAGATACTACTGGATTACTAAAACTTCTCTAGAAATACTCAAATATTAATGAATTATTTTATGTATAAGCCTATTACAAAAATTACTATATCCACCGGTAAAACCGATATTAAAAACTATTCAGTAATTTTAAGTTTTAAGCGAATAGACGGGACGGGGACATTCTTTTATACTGGGTTATCTTTATATATATAATTCTTCGATGAGTGTGTATGTCACTGAACTTCTCTCAAACGACTGGACCGATTTTGATGAAATTTTTTGTGTCCAAGGGGATCTCGGAATGGTTTAGATTCACAAATCAGCCCGGCAGATGGCGCTGCAGTCGATGTTTAGGTTATGTATCCTAAACACCTGAACTAATTTGAATGAATTTTTGTTTATACATTCAAGTGGATATGCAGGACAACGTCTGTAGGGTCCGCTAGTAACTTATAAGCCTCCAGTGTTCTGGAAGTACATAATGTTTTACTGATTTTAACCTACGACTACGTCTTACATGCTTAAGTATTATTTTCCCATAGAAAGTTCTGGAAAAACTTGTTTTTTATATTTGATGTGCCGACCTTTGACCACTATCTCGCCTGGTGTTGAGCAATGATGCGACCTACGATGGATGCACGTCGTCCGATAAACAACCTATTCACTCGGGCCTTGAAGACACCCAGGTTATACCCTTAAGACTCTCCGAGCATTGCACAAGAAAGTAGTGAAATATCTGCTTTCCATTAGCAACGGAAAAACATAAATGATTTAATTGTAAGAAATACATTTTCTACTAAAGTAATTGGTCGTTCAACACGCATGCTATATAAATCTTAAATATCCGTAGTAAAAGTTCTTTATACAATCCAATTTATTGTAATAAATAGTTTTATTTTTTTCTTTTTATTGTAAAAACAATTGGCGCTATTTCTCAGCAATTTCTTACATATCATGTGAATCTGTTACTAATTCGAATTCAAGATAAATATAATATATTATAATTACTTAATATACTACTACACTACATACTTGATGATAATATAAAATATTACAATGTATGTACAAAATGTACACGTTTATTTATTGTTTTTCAAAAATGTAACAATTACTATTCTAAAGATTATACGGTTATAGGATTAACGCATCTTGTGGCAATGGCAAGTATTAGAGTATCTAGACGAATATCGGGCGTACAGCTCATGATTATGAGTCCCGGTCTGGCTTGAAACTAGTCGAGCATCCTCAAACGTTACGTTTACGTTAAACGTGATAATTATGCTACGAGTACCTTAAGTCTATAGCAAAAAATGTTACTATAAAGTGTTGGTAACATACCAAGTTTCCTCCTCTTCTTGATCTGTGCATGTGTGGCGGGCTGCTCCGTGATGTCGAGGAGTTTGATCCCGGCGCGGGGCGGCGGACGAGCCGCGCCGCGCCATGTTCCGCCGCGAGCACCGCCGAAACGAGACGGTAGACCTTTTAGTGGAGCTAGACAAAGGAAAATTTTAGTATCAGATCAGTGGATTCAAACATATCAACTGAGCGTTAAATTACCAGAAACACCACACAAATAGAGACCATGATAAACTGGTTTTCTATAGCTTGACGTGTAGTCGTATGGACAGTGGCCAACAAGACAATAATTATGTAATTTTTTATTAGATTTTGATGGGCCGACGTTAGACCACATCTCACGTCTGGTGGTAAGCGATGATGCGGTCTACGATGAACGGCACGTTGTCTCATAAGCAAACAATTCATTCGGGCCTTGAAGACACCCAGGTTTTACCCTTCAGGAAATACAGACTCTGGCAAAAATTCCACTCCTTAAACTGTCAAAGACCAAGCGGTCACCGGTGACCGCAACCTATTGTTCTATAATTGTGTCTGTATTGACGGTACTCGACGAGTTAACAGTACGCACAAGGCAGCTTGTGTCTTATCTATCTTTATACCAAAACAATTAATAAGTTGAAAATCTATTACAGGATGGAGTAGGTTGAGATGCTAGCCACTGTACATAGGTAGAAAATAACATGATAATAATATAACTTACTGGTATCAGTCATCTTCCGCGGCATGCCCCTACTGCGAACAGGCACTGACGGAGCCTGTGCCTTCTTCTGATTGGCTTGCACCTCTGTTGCTTTAGTCAACAGTTCTGTACGCAATGCCACTGATTTCGGCTTACGTTTTAATGTGAAATGCTTCACTGGATTCGGTTGTTGACCGACCTGAAATTATTTTAATGTTATTCATATAAATATGCTGTGTAGTGTATATAGTTGTCTGTACCCTTTCTCTTCTCGCTGGTTAACCAGGTTAAGATTGACTGCCGACAGAAAACTGCTGAAGGCAAATCCTCCGCTAACGTAGGTCACCGGTGACCTAAGCGGCGGTTAACGTGTTAAAGGCTTTTTTTCGAGCAACCTCGGTAACCCTCGTAGACATAGTCGTCCGTAACGGCTATGGAATAGACATTTAATTAGCAACAGCACTTATAAAGATACATACATACATAACTTCACGCCTGTCTCCCATGGGGGTAGGCAGAGACCATGGAACGTACAATTACTATGAGTCCTACATACCTCTTTCGCTTCATCAACAGTCATCAATCTTTTCATGCATGCTCGTCGGTTAAGGGTACTTTTAATTTGGCCCTTCTTTAATATATCGCCAATCTGGTCAGTATATGTCCGTCTAGAATGCGTTTATAAACATACGCATCACAGCTAGACCCGGAATAACAATTCTACGACATGTTGAGCAATGAGCAGCAACTAATCGCCCAATCAACCGCGCAGTCATCAATCTATTAACCTTGAAATTGTGACTGGAAAACAATCCTAATAATAAGAGTTGCTAAAATATGAAACTTACCACAGAAACCAAAGCATTCTTATTCAAATAGAGGCACTCAAGCGGTAACAGTCCAAGATCTGAATGCTTAGCCAATGCCCTTCGCAGTTCACTGATCATGTCACTGAAGATCGGCCTGGTCTCATCAAACTCTGCTATCTCCGTGTTAAGGGTGCCCACTGAGGGGAATGTTTTGAGGGTCTCCGCCAACATGGCCACCCAGAGGTCTGAGTCCACGGCTGCCACTTCAATAATCTCTTCGAGTTCATTTCTCCACTGGAAATTAGGAAATAATCATAATTTAAATCAATAGTATTTGTAAATTAAATACCGATTCCAGGTACACTGTAAACTTTGTTCTGTAAGATGTTTTACTCATTTGTAAAGGTCATTAATAAATTATATGGGGTACTTATATTTATACAGTGAGCTTATAATTTCTTTTTAATTGGCTGATTATTTACATTAATTTAAATTGTGTAGTAAGTACCTAAGTAAGGAGACTTTGTGTCTATGTTCCTTCTCAGAGTAGTCAGTTAGAAAATGCAGACTTGTGTAGCTTAATTTAATTTTATAATATTTACACATAAAAGAGCTATTTTGCAATCTATTTGGAGAAGTATATATAAATTTACTTTAAT